TATATATATACACTCCCAGAAGAGAAGGGGCAATGATGTGCAGGAAGGGAGGGGGCAATGCTGGGGAACCAACCAGTCAATTTTTCTAGCAAATTCAAAAGCACATTACAAGTGAATGAAAAATGATGATTGGAATAGAAAAATATTTCAAGTAAGCATTTAGCATTTAAAATACCTGAATATTTTGTTCTTTTATCTTTTTTTTTTAAGTTGGCAGGGTATGTTTAAGCATAAATTGTAAATGTAGTTATGATTTCAGATGTGATAGGTTATTTCAGGTTGAACTGCTTATGATTGAATTTGTATCCTTTAGAATGGATACAAATGGTCTTTGAGTGACAGGATTAAACCAACCATAACTGTTTAAGACTGGAGGTGGATTATGTTACATGGTTATTTTGGCTTCCATGCATGTCCTAATCATGTACTCACCTCTGCTCGGAGTACGACCTCTAGTGGCAGAAGATGCTGATTTTGAGAAAAGAAAACGTATTAATAACAATACATCAAATTCAAAAACTAGGCTGGGCATTGGAATCTATTCTTTTTGCTTAATTTACTGTTGACACAAATATTTTAGGACGAACACTACCAGCATTTGTTCAGTTGGACCAGGCTGTGCGTATAGTTAGAAAAATATCCATGTAAAAATCCTTTAAATTAATTTTGTGGTCAGTTCATTTCAGTCAAATATTTGCAATGATTTTGAATTATAGAACTATACATACCCATTTCTTTTCTTGTGTATTCTGGTGAAGAATTCCCACTAGAACTTCCTACAAATGAAAATAAATCCATTATGTGATACGTTCAACATATAAATTGAATTTTATGAAGTGTACATACCGTGTTTCCCCGAAAATAAGACACTGTCTTATATTTTTTTGGCTCAAAATAACACACTAGGTCTAATTTTCGGGGTAGGTCTTTTTTTAAAATATACAAAACTCTACATGTAGTCATGTACAAAAATATGGTGATCAGGGCAATTAGGGGTGCAGTACCTTTCTAAGAGCAATTTGCTAACCAATCGCTGGCCAGAATGAGCGAAGCGCACTTTCAGTATTGATTCCTCACAGGCGGAGTGCATTTGGTGTCACTCTGCCTGTGACAGGAGCCAGCGCTATAGAGGAGACATTGGCTTATGCGGCTCTGCTCCCTCCGGTGCCGCCTCGCTTCCTCTAGCGCTGGCTTTGTTGGCACTGCTGATTCTCTCCCTCGGCTCTTCAAGTTCTGCCTTATGCCACCACTGGACCTGGGAATGGTCACAACTAGGTCTTATTTTCGTGGTAGGTCTTATATTTTAGCAATTCACAAAAATAGTACTAGGTCTTATTTTCGGGGTAGGTCTTATTTTCGGTGAAACAGGGTAGCTTAGTCTACTGGAAATCTGGAACGACCCTTACCTTCATATCCCGCTTGGCGGGAACTGGAGATGTAAGCCTTCCTATCGAAGGTGGAGGTTGGTGATACTGAGAGGGTAGAAGTAGGGGACTGGGCGTATCTTGATCCCGAGGTGCTAATATTAACTTTTGAGCTGCCACCTGTAGCTGGATTTTTATATAACTTTTGTTATTATAGTAGTAATAAAGGAACATTGCATTACAACAAAAACTCATTTCAGCTAATGCTTATTGGGCTTTATATTCTTTCTTGAAAAAAAAGTGTTTATTTATTATTTATTACAGGTACAGTATTTATATAGTGCTGAAAATGTACACTTGTAACAGATTGCACATTCATATTACTCCCTGTTCTGAAGGAGCGTATGGTCTAAGGTCCCTATTGCACACACACACAGGGCCGATTTAGAGAGGAGCCAATTAACTTTTCAGCATGTCTTTGGATTGTGGGAAGAAACTGGAGTACCCGAAGGAAATTCACGCAAGCCCACAATAAAATTATTTTTTATTTTATTTATTTTTCATTTTTATATACATTTTTTTATTTTTAAAACATAACTGAATTGTGAACATGGTGTCAAGATAGCCATTGTGTCCTAATATATATTTGGGATCTAGTGTGATCTTGTTTACATTATATAAAAGTGACTACTGAAGCTGCAGCTGTTTTAATTGTCGAGAGTGAAGTACCACTTACAGCCTCTAGGGGGATCCACAGGCATTTTTTTCTTGCATGCCTGCACCATCTACTGGCCAAAATAGGGAATGTCACCCTGTGCATTTTATTACTCAACCGTTCGTGAATAAAAATTCCAACAATAAAAAAACAAAAAATTCATAGTTTGCAGGTTTCTGTTGCTGTCTCTGTTACTGCCCTTACTAGTTGGATTCAGCCTCTCTATTTGTCTTGAAAACCCAAATTGTTATGATTATATCACTTAACTAGGAGTTAAGTAAAAAATATTCCAATAGAGACACATGTTTTAGTGACAACTAAGCAGGGACTTGCTCTCACTTTAAATATATTTCCACTGACTTCATGGTGTGTATTTAGGAAAGGAAGTGATGGGACATTTCTTCAACAGGACACAGAAAGCAAAAGAAAATTACATGAGTTCATACTACCGCCCACTCTATCCAAAAAAAAAACTAAAAAAACTAAAATAAAAAACAAATTGGTTCTAAAAACACTTTAAATACTGCCTACACATAAATGTATCTTATCTATATCCTATAACACAGTAAAATGCAATACTGATTGAACATTTCACAGGCTTAAATTGTAGTTTACTAAAGAAATATACAATAATAAAATGAAAGCACACAATACATACCTGATGAGACGTAACTAGTGCTGCTTTGTACCAGGGTCTTCTTTTCCGTACCACCCCCTCCCCCCTGGTATGAGAGTTTGGAACCACTGGTATTTGCTCCTTCTGTTAGAACAAAATGATGGAAGAACATTCACAATCCCATTCACCAACCCAAAATCCTTTACAGCAGGTCACAAACTACTATTTCCACAAAAATAAAATGCAATTTAAAAGAGATCTATGGCAAAACCTTTTTTTGCCATAGTTCTCATTAGGGTCACAGGAGTACATATACTAATGTCCTCTTGGGATCCAAAACTCAGCATATAGCGCGCTAGAGATGCGCTGCAGCCAGGACGGATCTTGACAATATTGTCAGGATCCACCTTGCTGCCTGATTGACAGCTGGCTCTGCATCTCTAGAGCTAGAGCCAGCTGTGCCTGCCCTCTCCCCTATCCATCCCTCCAGTCAGCCAGTCAGCACTGGAGGATCAGAGAGGGGACAGGTAATCCCTGCGGGGAGTGGTGACTGACAGTCACCGCTCTCTGCAGGGAGAAGATTGGGAACTGAACGATCAGTGGTTTGTGAACGCTCACTTCTCAGGCTATAGAGCCGAAATGCGACAGCCTAAGTGTCACACATCGGCTCTAATTTTGGGGATGAGTGTATTTCACTCCCCCCATATTTCTCCTTTAAATGGTTCACTTGCACACTAGAGAATTTATATGTAAAAACATTCACTGAATTCACAGTGCTAACACAATAACTTACTTGGTGGTAGTGACACCAGTCTTGATGAACTTGATACTGTTTCTGTGTAGGCTGGAAAACAAGAAGATAATCTTAACTAACAAATTATTAACAACCATTTCTCCATTTTACTTGAAAGACATGCTATAAATATATAATGACAGTTTATTCTGTATTTTAATTTCATTGCAATATATAAACAATACAAGACTGTAGTATAGAAACTTTTAATGTTAACACTGTTTTCTTGTAAGAAGAGGCATTTAAAATGTACTATTTAGTATCCTAATTTAAAGCCAAATTGAACCATTTAACCTTTAAATGTAATGCAGTCAGGCTTTGTATACAGTAATCTATGTGCTTCTTTATATTTTTTAAATCAGCTAAATGTTGCAGCAAGGGTTAAAACCCCTCTCCTTGGCAACACTAGGAGAGTCAGACCGCCGCTCTCATATACAAGCAGCAGGTCAGCTCTCCGACACCCCCCACCGAACACTGCTCTAATCAACAGTGCTGATTCTATATGATTCTATATGCTCCTGTATGCTGGCAGCAGAGGGTTTGTTAACCCTTGCTGTAGCCCTTACTAAAAATGGAGGCATAATTTAGTACTGAGTGCATCACAGTACTAAATTAAGAGGGTTCAATTGGGCTTTAAAAACATTAAAGCTTAAAATTGATGTCCAGTAAGTGTACACTGTGTTGTCTATTGGAGTGTGGTAATAAAAGATACCTTTCTATTCTTATGCTTATATAATGTTGTTATCATAAGATCACATACTGAAGAATGTATTTGGGTGTTGACGATAAAAAATTAAAAAACTACAAAGGAAAGATAAAAAAATATATCTTACTCCTTCCTGCGGAGTCACCACCGTCCCGATAACTTTTCTTGGTTATAATATCCATTCCATAGTCACCTGAAAAAAGAAATACATACATTTAATCAAGGCATTATTTCTGTGTCTGCTGTTTTCTACTTATATAGGTAAAATCTTTGATTTGCATTGTTCTCTAAACCTTTTTGAATTATGAAAATATCTTAAATTAATTTACAAACTCTAGCACTGAAGCCATAAGCCAAAAGCAGTCAGAATGTATAAAGTACAGTGACCTGTAGCAGCTAATTAGAATAAATGTTACTAGACCCAGATTTTACAATGAGAATTGGTGGCTGGTTGCCATTTCATTGCCTTACTGCATAAGCACGAGGAAAGTTATTAAAACATTTAACAGTATTATAATGGCAACAACTTTATTATTAGCTTAGGCTGTGTTTTGTGTAGTTTCAGGCTTGTATGGGATTCACAACCAACACATATTAATAAGAATTCTGTGCTCCTAGTACTCTTCCCAGGCAACAGATTGTGCTATGGAAGTTGTTGTCTTTGGTTTACATCTATTAATTTACTTTGGACTCCTTACACCAATATTTCATGAGAAGCATATTTTAAAATGTAAAAAAGTATCTCTGTTCATTTATTAAATTGCAATTTTAGTCAGAACTATTTTTTGTACTGTGATTTTGATAGGGAGTGGGAAGGGTTAAGACAGTTCAGGGTTTTATTGCTGTTTTGATCCCAATTGGAAGGGTTTTTCCTAAATTTTTAGTCCCGGACAAGCAAACAACAACAAAAATTTGACAAATGTTCTGTTATTTCCCCACTCTACTTTAAAAGTATGCCCCCAATGGAGAGACGTCATGAAACTTCATCAACACAAATAGCATTTAAAAAAAAAAATTCTATTATTATAAATATTAAACACATATGGCTACCATATTACAAGATGTTTTGTAATAGTTCAGCTGCAAGTGATAATCATATGGATTCCATAATCATAACACAAATATTGCGTCTGTGTGGAATATTAAACATTTCTTTATCCAAAACAAATACTTTCTGTACCAGTAAGGATCTTTAATAATAAACCAGTTCTAAGCCAATATAGACAGTTAACTTGAACTAAAATAACCAAAGTGTAACAAATATTGGATGCAGTTCCAGCAGTAGCAAATATTTTTAACAATAAATGGTTGTCTTTATTTTGTAATATTTCTAAAAAGAGAAAAAATATTGTAAAGTAATCCATCAAGGGATTCATCTTTTTAATGTTCTCAGACCTATTAAAGAAGGTGTATAATTGGTTGTATTGGGTGATTGTATGTTGCCTTATAAATGGAAGCCTGTACTGAGAGAAATATGTCTAACCTCCTTCAGAACTTCTAATCTGCATACTTGTTTTGAATTGGTGGGGTTCATTTATTAAGGCAAATAGTCTGTTCACTTTGTAAGGGAATTTGCACTTTGCAGGGAAAATTTCTCTTAGCTTAGTAAATGTGGTAAAAATTCCCTTTGCAAAGAATACCCAAATCACAAGCATGACAAATAAATAAATCAGTATTTTTGTTTGCACATAATTGGATGATGGAACTCAGCAGAGCTTCACCAAATTCTTTAGTAAATTAACGCTTTGGATCAGCATGAAAGCCAGGGAGCAAGTGTTTTCATGAGATGTTGTCAATGGCTGCCTCCATACTTCCTTCTGCAAGTTTCCTTTAAGCACAGACAAATATTGTATTTCTGGTTTGGACTTATAGTGCAGTCCTACAAAAAAAATGGTTTATTTTCCCAAACTGCCAATAGAGGGCAGAAGATTTTCCTTAGCTATATAGATAATGCAGTTGAGTTTTCTTACAATGCAGAATGAAGAAGACTCCAGACTGTGAAAGTCAAACTTCACTTTACATCTGCTACTTTTATTCTAAAACCTGTTCCGTACAGCTTTATTCATTGGTATATCAAATAGCCCTGATCATTCCCACTGTAACTTAATCTAAAAAAATCTGTTTTGGCTGGAGAAGCAATAAAGGGATTTGTACACTCAGCAATAGTGTTGGACAAATGAAAGACTCTCTGTAGGGAATAAAACCTATGTGAGCAGGTTTAGATGGGATCAGTCAGTACTTGAACCCTGGCCACATGCTTGTATAGCACCAGTTCAGCTTCCCTGCAAGTAAGGTGCCATGCTGCTAGTGTGTGGCCTGGGAGATAGAGAAGCTCTCTATGGAGGCTGCACACAGTTCGTTTAGGTCACAAAGAGGTTAATTTACTACAGGCAAATAGGCTGTTCACTTTGAAGAGGAATTCTCCCTGAGCTTAGTGGATACGGTGAAAATTCAGTTTCAAAAGAATACCCAATTATGTGTAAGGAAAATAAAAAAAAAACACACAGACAGTATTTTTGCTTGCACATGATTGGATGATGGAAGACAGCAGAGCTTCACCTCATTCACTAAACTTGGGGGAAATTTCCTTACAAAGTGAACAGACTATTTTCCTTTAGTAAATCAACCCCAATGTGCTGACTGAAAAATGTAAAAGAAAGTTGTAATAAATTCTTATTTTTTTGTAAAATGGCAAGCAATGCTTTTTTTTGCTATGGGTTATGTATTTTAATTTATTCAAGGTACCACCAGCAATTTATGCAGCACTTTACATACTGCACATTTACATCAGACCGTGCCCTAAAGGAGCTTACAATCTAAGGTCCCTATGTTACATACATACAGGGCCGATTTAGACAGGAGCCAATCAACCTATCAACATGTCTTTGGAGTGTGGGAGGGAACTCACACAAGCACATTGAGGACATGCACACTTCTACACATAGTGTCCAGAGAGATAGGAAATGGGGACCGCCCCCTTGCCATAAGCAGTTCTAACCATTAAACCGCTGTGCTACTAAGCAGGAGTCACATGAGAAAAACATTACTGACCGTAAGACATCAGCAAAGGCAACACTCGACAACTTTGCAGCTTTATACTCAGAAGCATGCTGCCTTTGACATTACACTTGCTCCTATAAACTTAAAGTATTTATATTACCAATTAGTATTTACATTGCCACTACATTATATATAGAACCAGCACAGCTGTTAAGTGGTTATTGCTCTTGCCTCAAAGTCTTGGGTTTATATCTCACCAGGGACACCGTCTGTATGTAGTTTGTCTGTGCTGCTCATATCTGCAAGGGTCTCACCTCTGTTTTTTTTCCCAAAAAACCAAAAATATTCTGGTAGATTAATTGGCTTCTTCCCAAATTGGCCCTAATGTGCATATGTGGCCATTTTAGTGGAAAACACCTTTGGAGAGCAATGACTGATGTGAAAGGTTACAATGTAAGATGTTGCATAACATGATGCTTGTATATCTATATGGGAAATAAATAATGGTTCCCACTGATAGGTAACTCTCATATATAATCCATTTCTGACTTTTACATACTTACTATCAATAATAGGCTGTTATAGAAATGCATGTGCAGGATCTAAAACCTGGGGTCTGCCACCTGTCAACCTTAACTTAATTCGCTGCAATCAGTTTTTTAGACAGGTATATATGGCGAGTGAGCTTTGCTCCACATCAGAGCTCCTGTCATTGCACTTGACTCGATAGAGCTCATCAAAATGATGCTTTTATTTCTACGTTCTAGTGCTTGTTTTACAGATCAAAGCACAGGCAGCCTAGTAGTTGGCTAATAGATCAAAGAATATTTCAACTGGCCAACCACTGTGCACATTGGGGCTCCTTTATAGAAGCTACCATGTTAGTCATAGCAAACAATACTGCATTATTTCTTATTGTGAGATATACAATTAAACAAGATATCCATTGTTAGGTTACTATTGCGCATTCGTCAATTTTTAAAAAATGTATTAGCTCTAGTATACCGTATGTTGATGTTCAGAATTACATTGTACTCTTCTCTAGCATTGTTATATTCTTTCACACATCTACATATCCTCAGTCAGATGACACAACAAGTCGAAACAGTTTAAGCTCCTGTAAATGCTGTAAATATGTCTATCCGATTTATCCATGGTGTATAGACTTTACAGGCGACATTGCTGAGGAATGAAGACTATTCAGCACTGAAAGCATTTGTAACTAAGACACCTTGCGTGATCATTATAATCTGCACAATATAGTGTTCCTGCAGGCAACATACATGCAAACACCTGTATTTATTGTAACAAAACAACGCCCAGAGTTATTGTCTACAGAATATAGTAATTTAAACCTTTATAAAGTATAGCTTGGAGGTGGGAAGAACCTGGTAATGGTATTATGTGATTCTGGAGGACAGCATATATTGTTGGCCAAGGAATGTACAGTCGGAAGTTGTTTATAAATGAATAAAGAGGAGAGAGAGCTCTAGTATACACAAAGACAAAGAAATATCATCCTGTAAAATGGTATACTTCTTTTACACACAGTAAATGTCAGAAATACAGCCAATGCACACAGTGCTGAGAAACCAGATTCCAACGTTGGATAAAGAAACTCATAGGCTAGTGGTACTGCCAAAATTAGCAGGGCCAAGTGTAGAGGCACTGGGGCCCAAGTTTGGATGAAGACACCCATAGGCCATTGATACTTCCAAACCTAGCAGGGGCAGGCATAGGATGTCTAGAATGCCGGTGCCTGCACCAAGGTATTTTCTCCCCAAAAGGTGTGCACTGCATCTTTGAAAAGGAGAACTTCAGTCTAAATGCATTAGTACAGCAATCCTTTTGTAATTCCCTTGCTGAAAATCCTCAAAATATATAGCTCAAGCACCACTGGTTCTTAACTGTTTATCAATCAGTCACCAGCATTAGTTTTTAGTGTCTACATACAATCTATTTATTTTATGTATCCTACTGTGGCAAGCAGAAATATAAATCAGACAAATGTAAATGGAGCAGTACGTTCTGTGTCCAGGTGCCAGGAAGTTTGTGTAACCGATCAAGCACCCTATCCAGAGGGGAAGCTGAAGGTGGATGGAGGGATAGTGGTGATCGGGAGCTGCAACTGTGGGATTGAGTTCTGATTGTGCGAATGTAAGTTATTTCAACCGTTGCTGAATTGTTTTAAAGATCTGCTGCTATTTCCTATCTTCTCTTGGAGTGGTATTTGACACTGAGCTGAGTATCGGATATGAGAGTCCAGATGCTGTAGATTTGGATTGCTGTATGACAACTGTGGGAATTTTAAAGGAACGCTATTGACGATTAAGGGGGGCAGTAGCTCAGTGCACTTGAGATAACAAATGTAAATAATTGCTCTCGTATATGTGTGAATTGTGTGCAGATAGATGCGTGCACAACAAGGCTCCTACAGAAACGTTCTACCAGCTTCCTGTAAATGTGTTTTCCAAACTGTATAGTCCACTATACAGATGAGACATGCAATGACTGATGCAGTTCTATGCTAGCCTGTCCTGCTGCATGACAAGCACCCAGGATTCTCTGCTTCTTTTATTTGCTCTTATACCACAGGCAGCATCTAACTGTGCTGATTTTTTATAGTAAAATGACATACATTTGAAATCCCACAGATCAGACCAGGGATGCAATTTCTAAACATGGTATACAAACATTTATCAAAGAACATTAAAAAAAGGAATTCTCAGACTGGATTGGCTCCCAGATACTGTTATGAAGTTGCATATAATGGTCTAATGTGTTGGTGTATGTACCCTATTGCCCTGTATAGATTCCAAGTGCAAGACAATAGTTCATAGTCATTCATATACAGTACAGTATGTTCCTGCCTTACTGCCACCCATGGATATTTAAGCTGATGTGGACTAGGGCTCAGTTAATATTAACATAACAAATGGCAAGTACAATAATATAATGATAATTTCCAATCAAATAGACCTTAACATATACCCTAGGTTTATCTGCTATGGTCTGCTTTACTCAATATATGTCCCATCATCACCTAAATCTTTTGAAAATGCAGACATTGGGTGACAAGCATCTCAAAAGAGACTATATTGTTCTTTAATGAAACAATGGACTGGAGGGAATGTATTTTCTTGCCCAGCAAAAATTCACAATACTGTACTCAAGCTTCTGAAATGATAAAATGCAACAGATTTACTAGAAAACAGGCGGTTGAAAGATGTCATTATATAAATGACATTGAGTTTTGTTCCAGCCATCAGTTTCATAATTCACTTTAAAAACTCATAAATCTAATTTTTCATTTATAAAAAAGCATTTTTATTTTTCTAACTTTCTTTGATTTGATTTTTCAAAGTGATTTTATGAATACAAAGTTTGAACAGTATTTTGCTAAGAAATCACTCCTCATATAATCTGAGTTTTCATGTGCATGGATGAGAAGAGAGGGGGCAGACACCCCTGACTGGTCTTATGTCAGGGGAAACAACAGTATTTATTCAGTCAAAAAATATCCAATGGGCTAATGTCCTATTGGTCAGAGAACGAAAGCCCATGGGTGTCTGCTGGCATCCAGAGTTATAAAGATTGTCACCAGTCTTTGAGGGAACTACAGTATGTCTTTAGGTACGGCCATTCAGATGGTTGCATTCAGTGTCATGCTTTACTTTAATTTTTAATTTACAATGATCAAATTCAGAAAATCATTCAGCTCCGAGAATTGTTTCATCCATTTAGCACAGCATGAATGTTCCCCTTATGTCAGATTTGGGGCTTTATGGCGGTAAAGAGGGTTATTTATGGAATGAGCCAATTTGATCTTACATCAGACTGCCTTGAAAAGATTTTGCGTTCATGTTAGTATTTGATTCACTGGATTAGAAATTGGTTGGCTGATTGTATCTTTTACATTTTATGGATAGGACTGGTCTCTAGACAGGTTTGTGTCTGTTCTTCTCAGTTCTGAAAATGGAATGGAGTACAAGTAGAAAAAGCTATGTCATGCACATTCTAAAACACCTGATTTTATTAGGTTTTCTGTCTGGAAATCATATATAAGGTCAGTTTATTATTTGTCCTGTCTTCATAAACTTCAGTTTTGCTGCATTGTCAGAATCATCCACTAGTCGTAGCGATGATCATATAACACCTTATCAGAATCATGTAGCTACATGATATGATCATGTTTCTGGAACATACGTCTATGAATTCTGCATTCCTGTATGCACCCATAGGAAGTGATGCCATAGATACCCACAAAACTGTATGGGTATCCATGGCAACACCAGTTTACCTCTTTATGACTGATCATAGTTAAGGGCTCAGGCTGAACACAGCCCCCCGCTCTCTAATTTCATGAACTGAGGGCTGTATGTCATTGAATAGTGAATACAAGTAAATGTTTAAAGGCTGATGTGATATCAATATGATTTCCATATTCCATTAAGATGCACACCTAATCTGTAAAAATACATAAAGCTGAATTTTGAATTGCAGTACTTCTCATGGACTTAAATTTTTTGGGGGGGCACTATTGTACTATTGCAATATATTGCTGCGGTCAACCAACAACGCCATCAAAGGAGCACAAAGCATGCCCAATGGTTATATTTATTCCAGTATTCCAAAATTAAAACCAGTACAAACGACTGGTGTGGTGCATTACCAGCCAACAGAAAATCCTAAAACCACTGCTCACTGCCATTGTCACAGTTGTAGAATACGTGCCACACAGTATCCATACCTGCGTCAGATATTCTACCCAAGGTACAAAGAAGCAAAACATACCCAACCAATGTCTGTAATAAGCTATATGTTTAACTTTCGGATTTTGTTTTCACTGAGACCTCAGTAGAGCACCAAAAGCAAAATTGTAGCTGAGATTCGTGTCAGGATCCATGTCAGGATAAGCGTATTTACTTTTTTCGTCTCATCCACATACACAATCTGTTGCTAAGGTATAACAGTAGCTTGTCTGTTTCTCAGTGTACAGTGTGGTTTTCAGAGTGATGTAACTGTACAAATCTCTAGCACATCTCCCTAATCTCACCTATTACACACACTGCTGTCACTTTCCCTCTTCCTAACACAAACTTGTCAATGTGCAAGAAATATGTGGGAAACTTCTGTTTAATATTCAGGATGCCAAAAGTGACTCAGTGTCAAAAGCTTTGAAACTTTGCAACAAATCTCCGAACATTGCATATTTATGAATATTCTGTATGACAGGATCGGTTGGTCACATAGGTGACATCTGTCATTCTTACTTGAGCAAGCTGATGTGTAACATGTATGTAACATGCTGTGCAACGTGACCTCAAATCAGTCTGGTTGTGAAGTCACATATGTTGGTCACATAGGTGACATCTGTCATTCTTACTTGAGCAAGCTGCTGTGTAACATGTATGTAACATGCTGTGCGACATGACCTCAAATCAGTCTGGTTGTCACTAGTAGAAGTCTTGGCTCTATAAAAGGAGTCTGAAAGAGTTATGCCAGAGCTAGTGATGTTCTCTCCTTCTGGAAATGCTACTTGACTGGTTTCCTATCTGATACTCTGGTTTCAGCGCTTTCAGAATGACTGACTGGCAGAGTCCCGACTTTGCATCGACTTCTTTTGCGCATGCTTTTGCTGGTTCAGAGACTTAAAGTAATGAAGCCAGAGACCGCCAGGCAACTGGCATTTCTAAAATGAAAGGACGACAACAGCAGCTTCCATTGTCCTCTCAGTACAAGTTTCCTTTAAGGGAGAGTCTGATCACGCTATCAATAGAATCATGATATAATCCAGAGGTGACTACAGAGCAGAATAAATATTTGTGTGGCATATCAGGTATTAGTATGACATGCACTCAGACATAATGTAAGGGCTTTTATCAGACTTATTGCTCCCAAATATCAAACAGAAAGAAAAAGTTAGCTGCTGATTAATGGAATCATTACATAACCATGAATGCATTTCCTAGCCAAAGCTCCATGACAAGGGGGGTAGGCAACCTCGGCATTCCAGCTCTTGAGGAACTACAAGTTCCACGAGGCATTGCAAGACTGATAGTCATGGGCATGACTCCCAAAGAAAGAGGTATGATGAGATTTGTATCTCCACCACAGCTGGAGTGCCGAGGTTGCCTACCTCTGTTCTATGACAACAATGCCAATTCAATGACTAGTACCATGGTGCAGGCTTGCAGGGGTCTGCATTGTACAGCATGTCTTTATACATTATGCAGTAAGGAACGTCTACCAGAGGTGCACATGGTCATTTTACATTAGTATATTTTCTTAGCTCTACATCTACGGAATAATGCTCTCGGAGGCTCTTACGAATAAAGTCCAAAAGTCCACAATCACTGAGTCACAGACATGGGTAACACCACCTTAGTAAATAGTCCACTGTGTAGCCAAGTAAAAAGACTTTAAAATTTCAAGTCGAAAACAAAATCTGTCTGTACAAATGCTTACAAGTAGCAGAGCCAAATGTAAACATATATCATACCAATCATAATCCCAATTAACATCTAGTTATCTCTGTCCTGCATTGGTATTAATATAGTATGCATTGCATACTTACACACTCATCACAGCTTATTTCGCACCTACAATGTAACATCCGTTAAGCTGATATACCCAACAGACTAACGAACCATCCAGTATGTACTCGGTATTTTGTCATACGTACCTGGTGTATTTTGGCAAAGAAGAACCTCTGGCAACAAGGGAGGCCAAATTGTGTGTGCCTTCCCAAAAACTTTTCCTTTTTATAATTGTTTGCCCTCCTACACTTATTTACTCGTCCTCTGAGGTGTGTTGAGGCTGACTGATGCCTCAAGAATGTTCACTTTTTCTGTTATTCAGCCTGTGTATCCCAGTCTCCTGTCATCTCCAGGCAAGTCCTGACAAAGGTGTGGCATGGCTTTAATTTTGTTTTCTCCCCTCCCTACGACTCAGCCCAATCATTTGTAAGAGGAGAGAAGAGAAAAAAAATCTCTGCCTGGAGGATGTAAACTCTGAAGGAGGGTGCACCTGTCTGAGATCATAGATTGAGTGTACAGTAACTGAACCTAGAACAGGAGAAACATTATACATTACAGACATATATGCTTCTTTGTCACGAGTCACAAAAGTAGATTTGCATTCCTCGGATGAGGTGGACTGCTGGCACTTCTTTAATCGAGATAACCAGTTTAAAAGCATTTTCCGTGTTAGGTTTATTGACATTTATGAACTCTTTTAATACCTTTATGAAATGAGTTGCTTTTTGTTTTTAGTCCATCTGTATTTTAATATTGGACATTTAACATTCATGTAGCAAAGCTTAACTATGTTCAAGGGGGTTGATTTACTTGTTCACTATTACTTGATTTAGTTGTTCACTTTGCAAGAAACATTTTTACTTTGCAAAAGAATTGTCTCTTAACGTAGGGGTGTGTTTACTAACAAATCACAGGGCCCTTCGCCCTGTGAATAGCAGTGATTTTTGTGTGCGAATAATGACAAATGCGAACATTCTTAATATATTATCTTTTTCAGGTCATTGTGATGTAGTGCTACATTATGATCACTTGATGGCGCTGATGAGCACTTGAAATATATACTTATTTACTATGCTCCTCAGCTCCATCTAGTGGCCATAATGTAGTATTACATAACAGTTTATTTAACTAGAAAAGAAGATATATTAAAGGAGAACTTCAGGGAAAATTATTATTAACTCTTGCAGTGGGGCCCCCCCCGCACTGTAAGGGTTAAGTGCTCATTTGTGTCTAGGAAAAAATTAAAAAGTTATACTCACCTGATCCTCTAAACCAGCTTGCTCTCCTTCTCTGCTGCAGCGGTCTAAGTTCCCATGAATCATTATGTTCTATACACTGTGTATAGAGCTTGAGGATGTCGAGGGACATTTCATCGCTGCAGTGTAGAAGGAGAGAGGATGGAGGGAGCTCTGTCACAGCCACTGGCTCAGAGGATCGGGTGACTATAGCTTTATTTTCCTTCCTAGTCCAAAACGAGCAGTAAACCTTTGCCGTGCAGGGGTAGCGCCACTGCAAGGATAATAATAATTTCCTCAGGAGTTCTGCTTTAAGAGGAACTTAACCCACCAATTTAATGTCTCCCAGACAGTTACTTTTGAAGCACGTCATCTATCAAGGAGTCAATAGACCCCTATACAGACTTGACAGAATGCTCAAGTTACATAAAATACAACACAAATATACAAGTTGGTCTGATTTATACTTGGGCACCTAAAATAAGGAAGGAGGCTACTGTGTTTTAGGTTTAGTAAGCCTTGCGGAAGGGCTCATACAAGCCATAAAACATATAATGTTATTAAAGTATATCTAAAGTCAAAAAAAATTTCTTTCATTTTACATAGAGTAAGGAAGGGTTTAGGGGCATCCTGAGACCCAGTGTCAACCGGAGCGGTTACTGGGTAACTCACGGCAGAGAGAGCAGGGGACAGTCACCCAGCAGGATAAGGTATGCAGCCGGGTCCCCTCCTCTCTCCCGAAACTGTAGGGCGTTTGGTCCATGACCGAGTGCCTCACTTTTCAGAGGGGGGTGACACCAAAATGACTGCCAGTCATTTTGGTGTCACCCTTCTAATGGTGTCACCCGGGTGTGGGACGCACCCCCCTTGTGGCACAACTGGAAGGGTTAGAACCCCTATTTAGGTTTATATTGTTGTTTGTGTCCCCAGAGATTCACCTTGATTGTTTGACCTTGTGATCATCGGTACTGGGACAGGGAGTGATTGGAAATCCAAAATTTTACTTGCTGTTGTGCCTCCAGTGAAGGTATACAATGGCATACAGATTGTAAACCCCCCCACCCTCCCCAAAAAACTACAAACAAAAAAAAGAATGGGTATACTCTATTCAAAAAAAAGTTAGGGATACACATTCTGTGCTATAGCTAAGGAAGCATTGTCAGTTAGCATGGAAAAACCTGAAGAACTGTCCATCCTCTGACCAATTGCTGATAAATTCATACAATTAATTTCTTCTCAATTAAACCATTTTGTTTTAGAGCAGATCATTTATTTTTCTTGACCGATTACTACTTTTCTGAACAGTTGCAGGATGGAACAACTACTTGAGCACGGAGGATAAAATACAATTGGTTGATTTGACTGCTTGGCTGGGGACCTTTCTAAAGACGTGGCTTCAGGACAATAAAATCCTTTTTTTGGGGACGAGAAAAGGCTGCTAACTCTTTGTGATTCTTGGTGATTACATTTGGCATTAGATGCAAATGCACAACTTCCCAGCATGGCTGGTGACTATCCTGCCCATTATCACTTTCACAGTATCTCTGTCCATCTTCGGGATCACTATCTTCATTGTAAAATATTGATTTGCAAATTGCATATGGAATACGATTCTTGTAAAGATGAATATATTTTAGATACATTCTGTGAGTGTGCTTTTTCCCCCAAATGTCCAGGATACAATTGATGTACGTATGCTGGATTAACTGGTTTAACATTTTTTTTTAACTGGAATACAAGTTGGAAATGTTGATAGTGGAAGCCGGTTACCATAGTGACATTTTCTCAGACACAAAGCATGTATCTTAGGACGAACCTTCCACATTCTGGGCTGAACCCAGGGGTTGCGGAATACAAATGGAGAGGGTGTTCTGCATATTTCCGGGAACAAGTCACAGCAGATCACATCTTTGACCCAATTTACACCATGAACAGTCCCAGCTGCTGATTGGTTGATGCTGTGCTTTTTTTTGTAGGTTTTAATTTCTTTTTTTTATTTAATCTGGTGAATAGCAAAATAAGCAGATCCGACACACCTTGAAATTCCACACTAAGCAGCTTAACTGCATTTTCTGCACACATTACGTGGCTGTCCTAAAAATCAAATGATTTTCTCTGGGAAGAGGCAATACATGTTCCTTTTCATTTATTTCTTAAAAAAGCGTTACTTTTCATTTATGGTAACTCGAGAATCTGTCACCCTGCCAACTTCAGGATCTTTTGTCTGTCAAGGTTCTCATTCATCCAGCTCATGGTATATCTGTAAAAAAAAAAGGCAGCTGGACTTGCTGTAGTTTTCTTAAGGAGATGCTGGTCATTCGGCAGGCTTTCTCAATTCAGAAAGAGTTGTACAAAAATTATCTGAGAATATATATGGCAAATGTTGCTCTAATCAACATAATCTGTTTATCCTAACCAGCATTGGCTCAGAGACTTCATGGACGTAAGGTGTTGATTGAATTTGCATGACTGCAGCTAGCAGGTGTTATTAACCCACCCAGAGAGACACATTTTGCCCACATACAATGCTGTATTAACGCCTCTGTCTGAGCGGGTTAGTGACACCTGCTAGCTCCAATCATGCAAATGCAATCAACACATTACCTCAATGAGGTCTCTGACTGACATGCTGGTTTGTCAATTATATTAAAATTTTCAGTAAAAATTATTAAACAATAAATCTCTATGCTTGCGCGAGCCCCAGATGATTACTGTATTAGGGTCCCCTCAAGTGATGCCTCTGCATTGATATATTCCTTTGCTTCATTGTATATTCCATAAAATGATGCCTGAGTTGGTTTGAGCAATTCAAACATGTGTCTATGAGCTTTCACAAATGTATTTACCATCTATTTGTTTTTTAGGGATGTTCAGACACCAAGTACAGTACTTGGTACAAGTACAAGTACATGTACAGATACTTTTCCAGTTCCAGGACTAGACTAGAGAAAAATTAAAAAGTTCGGAGGCAGCTGTCATTTTTAAGGAGCACACAGAGCTCCTGGGATTCGTACATCCCCATTTTATTGCATTATTTTTTTTAAATAAATATATAAGTGATGCACCTATACAATTTTTCCAAGTACAAATACTGATACTTATCCAATCACTCACAGATACAAGTACTGATAAATTTTTGTTTATTGTCATGTGACAGTTTTTCTAAAACAATACACACTAAGGATTTAAGGACAGTGATGGAGCGCCAGAGCTAGGTCCCAGCTGCAACCGCTGCAACCCTGGTAGTTCTTGTGAAAATGCCAAATGTCGGCACTGGTATCTGAACTGGTATCTGGACATCCCTAATTTTTTTTATGGATGCTACAGCATTGCAGTGCATTAATATTTGCTGATCTAGAACAGATCCTTAGGGAATCAATCATTATTTCCATGGAGTGAGAAAAGTGTTTAGCTAACTTTGGCATTATACAATTTAGAGGTCATAAAACCAATGGAGAAATCTGCATATGCAAATATGAAGTTATGAAAAGACATCAGATATTTGAAACATTTGCATAACAAGTTCATGGATTGCATAGGTATACTCATATAAAGTATAATATATTTTACAATATACAACAATACATTTAGCATTCTCACACTATACTGTATGTATTATAGTTTTGCTCAAACAATAGCATATACATGTGTATGGTTAACAATAAATAGAGTTAGTCATCCAACACAATAGGGAATTTTACATTTTAAATCAGTTTTGTCCAGAAACCTAGAGCAACTAATCAGGAAAATTCGTCTTCTGTCCACCCTGCTAAGAGGTGCAGTAGAACCCTAGACAAAACATATTTATTTTTATTTTTAAAAATGTTTTCTTTGTCCCTGCTGCATTAATCAATCTCAATATTTTACTTTGTGGCTATTTTCAAGAGAGAAAGTGAGAGGCAATCCAAATTGTTGTTATGTTCGGCACAGGCACAATAGTGAGGGGTCTGTCTTTCAATGAAGGACACCTCATCTGGCAACAATCGTCACAGGTGGGATTTTCCCTCACTACTTACTTCAATGTCTTGTCTTTAGGAGAGGATATGAAGAAAATCTCCCCCACCCCCCCCAAAGATATAGGCAGCAATAAAAATGTGATTCCATCTTTTCCACACTCCATTCACAACTACACACAAAGGTTTTGAGTACACTTTCCTATCTGTTGGTTGCAAGGAGCAATTGCTACCGAATGTCCTATGTTACAAAACAAGGTCTACAATTCTATTTGAGGCTTCATAGGTGATATATTAAACAGATTTGAGCTTATTATTTTTTATCCACTGTAAATGAAAAGCCATAGTTCAGGGTTTCAATTTACTCCCTGAGCCAATCCCATATATTTCATTACATAACTTTGTAAATTCCTTTTTTTTTTTCTTTTTCAGGTATGAACTTAATCCGGAAATAGTTCCTTTTTCTGCAGCACCCCCAGGATAATTGAGTCACATCACGTACGTTTTTTTAATACACTGTTTGACGTGGATGTAGGGCGGATTATAAAGAAAAAAAAGTGCCAGATTTTTGCATTGACCAAACATGGAAGTAGGAAATCGTACATTACAATTACATGCATACGTTCATACTGATGGCATCTGGCAGATTAAGATTCTGGCAGGGCATATGGTGATTTTTTTTTTTTTACCATTTACGATTTGGCTTCCATTTGAATGACACACATCAGTATGTTGTGCCACACCAATAAAATGTTCTATTTTATTGGGTTCTTTTATAATATTCAGTTGCACACTTTCTGAATCATATTTGAAAAGAGGAAGATGAAGACCATTTAAAAAGGAATGCCATGTCTCATTTACTATAATTTAGATAAAGAGCATTTGAGGGCTAATATAATGAGGTAGTGCAAAGAGCAATAGCGATGTGCAAATTGCAGAAATCCATTCCAAGCAATCAGATTTCAGTTTATTGAAGTCACATCAATAAAAGCTAATTTTTGATTGGGTACTTTAGACTATGGCATTTATCTTTGTTGCTTTGTATATTGCATATACTTGCAGCAGGTTACATTTTGGTGCCAGGAGTCCGGTACAGTAGTTGTTGGTATGGGGCTAATAGCACAAATACCAAAAAAAATAAATACTGTCTCCAAATGTCCCTCACCATCAACTATCCCTAAAAATAAAGTACGCTTTAATAGTTAACCCACCCCTTATCTGAACTGACACAAACGTACCCTCAAAACAAACCCTTAAAATGATTCTGTCACTTTAACAAAACAAAAAAAATGTCTGACATGTTTAATGTGCATACATCAGAGGTGCATTGGAATCCCTAGTCAGTCTGATCTGGCAAATCTCAGACAGCTGCTGGAAGTGTTGTAGTTGCTTTTTCCTTCAGTTTGCATTGACCCATTACTATGATGAGCTGTCTCATTGGATAATAGAAATGTGTAGTAGGGGCAAGGGGACTAGTAAGCGGTGAAACTACCTGGAAGTGTCAAAGCTTTGTTTAATCAGAACAGCCCAGCATTTGGCAGAGTAGAGGTACGGAAAGCTCTGCACCTTCTGGTGCCTACACTTTATACTTGTCAGCAGCCATTTTTTGCTGTTCACATTTTTACTTCAACTCTAAACCCCCTTCTTAACCCTAACACTTAACCTACCCCCTAAACAA